AACAACAAGCGAGCAAGTAAACAAAATAGATACAAACACCCCAAACCCTAAACCCTAAACTCCGGTGTCGCTCTTGGTCTCCGTTAGATTTACGCAGACTTTCAAAAGCATAGCAAGCAACAAGCCGCTCACAACGTCTGCAAAACCATTCGCGTCCTTTAGGGTTTAGGGTTTAGGGCACACCCTAAACCTGTAGGCTCGAACCCCGGAACACTTAGCTAGAACCCCGACGCTAAAATCCCAAAAGCCCCAAACGATGAGTTCCATGCCTAAACCCTAAAGCCAAAGCCCTGAACTCTATCCCCAACCCAAAGCTCTCAACCTTCAAGCTGCAATCCTAAAGCTTCAGAGGTGAGTCGCAAGATTCCTTTCAGGGTGTGTTTACTAAGGCAGTTTTCCTTTAAAGGGGTCCCTTCTTAACCCTACTTAGGGCTCTCTTCAAAGGGACCGTATTGAGAGGGTCTAGATCCCTCAAGGGTCCCCCCAAATCCTAACTCCTATACCCTAAACCCTAAACCCTAAACCCTAAACCCTAAACCCTAAACCCTAAACCCGAATCCCTAAACCAAATCCGAACTCCTAGGTTTTGAAAGGGTTGCAATAAGGGCTTCGAATGAGGGTTCCTTTAAAAGCCGGAAGCTGCAGCCCAGGAGCTCCAACGGGCCTTCGAAGTGTTGGGGGCTTTCGGCTTCAGATGAGGGTTTAGGGTTTAGGGTTTAGGGTTTAGGGTTTCGGGTTTAGGGTTTAGGGTTTAGGGTTCAGGGTTTAGGGTTTAGGGTTTAGGTTCGATGGTTTTTTTTTCGATGGGGCCGGTAGAGAGCCCTCCTTCTAGAACCACCCTAAACCCTAAACCCTCAACCCTAGACCCCCTAAACCCCTAAACCCCAAACCCCTCAACCCTAAACCTCTAAACCCCTAAACTGCTAGACCCTCTCTAGAATCCTAGCAGTTCTGGGTCCCCCTCGCTTTCACATACACAGAACATGCCCGGGATCTGTGGGCTTAGGGGTTTAGGGTTTAGGGGTTTAGGAGTTTAGGGGTTTAGGGTTTAGGGGTTTAGGGTTTAGGGGTTTAGGGGTTTAGGGTTTAGGAGATTAGGGTTTAGGGGTTTAGGTTTTAGGGGCTTAGGGTTTAGGGTTTTAAGGTTTAGGGGTTTAGGGTTTCGGGGTCAGGAGTTTAGGGTTGAGGGTTTAGGGATCTGTTGCAGAAAGCGGCGCCGGCGCCCGAAGTCTACTCCGTGACCCTCATCTACCTCAGTGTGGTGGGAGAGCCCCTCGTACCAGGGTTTTCACTAGGGTTTATGTGTTCAGGGCTTGCGGATTTAACTTAGGGGTTAAGGGGTTTAGGGGTTTTGAGTTTTGGGTTCATGGTTTCGGGTTCAGGATTTTGGGTTCGGGGTTCAAGCTTCAGCACTTTGGGATTTGGGGTATAGGGAGGTGCGGTCTCTTGGAGCGCCTTGACTTCATCTTCGAAGTGGCGCTTTAAGCCTGAGTTTTCCGTGTGCCAAACTCCACCCTAAGCACCCAAGTCTGAACTCCTAAACTCTGAAGGCCCCTTGTAACCCTGAACCTGAACAGGTTTTCGGTTTAGGGTCTCAGCCCATCCCAAAACCATGTTCAAGCCCTATTGGGCAGACATCCTAGTAGGATTCCCGTACAGAACCCTTGTAGAACCATCTTGGCCTCAGGCTCCATGTGGAGCGAAGCCCGCGGAAGCCCCTGGTGTCCTGGCTTTGGATTTGCCTCTTCGGGTTAGGATGTCGGGTTTAGGGTTTAGCATTTAGGATTTCGGGTTTAGGGTTTCGGATTCAGCATTTAGGATTTCGAGTTTCGGGTTTCGGGTTCAGGGTTTAGGGTGTCGGGTTGAGGATTTAAGGTCTCGGGATGAGGGTGCTTCCGGACGTAGGGGTCCTGTAATGGTTTTGTAAGGGCGCAAAAGGCTTTATAGGTGTTTCAGTTTCGGCGCGTTTGGGGGTTTCGGGCGAAGGGTTCAGGGTCCAGGGGTTTAAGGTTGAATTGGTGCTTAATACATATAGGGGCCTAAATATGTACCAATACTATTTTTGGGGGTTCCTTTTTTATCTTTATAGTATAATGGGCCCCAAACCCTATTCTAAAATGATTAAGGCCCCGATATTAGTCAGGCCTTTGGGGGTGTCGGGTTTATCTTCGAAGCCTGGGGGTTGCGGCCCTGGTCTCTGTGCACGAGCCTGGAACCCTCTAAAACCCCCAAACCATAAGCTCTGCCCTAACCTAGCCCTTAACCCTAGGCCCTAAACCCATCGAAGCTACTCTAAGCTTCGGGTTTAGGGTTTAGGGTTCAGGAGATCCTTCAACCCCCCCAACATTTCGGGCTTAGGCATGTAGGGCAGAATCTAAGGGGTTTCGCCAGTCTTGATTCTGGATAAATAAAGGCGACGTGGGCCCAGGATTTGTTTTGCCGGTCGGGTCAAAATTCGAGGCTTGCAGGTGCCCCCCCCATGTTATAGCAGCTTTGCTTCAGGTCATCGGATTCAATGTAGAACGGGGCACTGGAACTGAGACGGGTCGAACTGCAATCTACATGTACTACACCCTCAACCCTAAACCCCCCTAAACCCTGAACCCTAAACCCCTAAAATCCTAAATCCTAAACCATAAAAGCCCTAAACCCTAAACCTTAAGCCCGAATCGTAGAGTTTTGGAGTTCCAGGCCTAAGGTGTCCAGGGGACGGCCTGTAGTCGCCTTGGGGTAGTACCAATCCTAGGGGTTTATGGGGTTTAGGGTTTAGGGTTTAGAGTTTTATGGGTTTAGGGTTGAGGGTTTAGAGTTTTATGGGTTTAGGGTTTAGGGGTTAGTTACAGGTTCATGGGACTTAGTATCTAGGGCTGTATATAAGATAGCTATACTTATACTTACGCAAAGACCCAATCAAGGTACTTACAGCTGATTAAGTCCCATGAATCTCCAAGCAGGGTTTAGGGTTTAGGTTTTAGGGTGTAGGGGTTATGCTAGGTTTTCCGGTAGTGCCCTTTTGCCTTTTTCCTGTGGGGTCCCCTTATGCGAACCGAATAGTAGCAACAACGATACCCTTGTTATTAAGGAGCCAGTGGGGAACATAGTCTGTAATCCACAAAGGTTTAGCTGTAGACTCCAATGTCTGGACAGATGAGTCAGGGAAGCTGAGCTTTAGGGTGGGGTGCTCGCGGTTTAGGAGTGGCTTCAGGGGCTGTAGTATTTAAGATGTGTACCAGCTTTACGGTTCTAGCTTTGTAGGGTTGCTATAACCCTAAACCCTAAACCCTAAACCCTAAACCCTAAACCCTAAACCCTAAACCCTACTCTAAAGTCTATATTTGGGTTGGTCTATCACAAAAGCCTTCAAAACCCCAGGGACCCCTGTGACAGAGTCGGCATAGCGACGTACCCAAAGCCTCTCTTAAGAATGCCTAAACCCTAAACCCTAAACCCTAAACCCTAAACCCTAAACCCTAAACCCTAAACCCTAAACCCTAAACCCTACCTTGACAGGCCGAAGCGCTACGCCCTGGATCAGTTCAAGACAAGTCGCCGGCTTACGGGGCAATTGCAATGCTGATGAGACAGGGCCAGTGGAATTAGGGCTCACCTTAAGAACCCAAAACCCACTTTTTTGTAGGTTCTTATTATAAACCCTAATATGGGATTTATAGGGACCCTACAAAAAAGTAGGTTTTGGGTTCTTAGAGCAGGGTTTAGGGCAAGTTTAGGCTTCAGGATTGTAGGACTTGAGGTATCGGTTTGATTTCGTTCGTGGTTTCGGCTAATTTCCCTTGGGATCGCAGCTGTTTTGGTGATTTGCCAGAACTCATGTCATAGGATTGCAGGATTGCATTCGGGTCATGACCATCCATGTGTGGATGCGTGTAGATAATCTCTAGGTTGTAGCCCCTCCCCTAAACCCTAGACCCTAAACTCTAAACCCTAAGCTCTAAACCCTAAACCCTAAACTCTAAACCCTCAACTCGCTAGAGGGTTTAGGGTTCAGAGCTTTGGGATGTGACGTTGAGGCCTTGGGCTTGCAGGGAGGCTCTGGGATCATGTGAGAGTTCTCAAAAATATAGGGGGCGGGGGGGGGGGTGGACCTTATGGGTGGACCTTATTTGAGGGCCCTTATTTCTAAAATTACTACTATTTAGGGTACTACACTAGGGTGATGTCTTGCAAGCATTTACCCGCGCTTTCCTCCACAACTGGCACTAAGGTAGCGAAGCACGGAAGCCCCAGGACCGAACAGTAAAGGCGAAACCACTCAGCCCGTAATTATTTTTGTCATAGTTGGGTCACGGTCTTCATGTCTCATCGGTACTTAAGCCGAAGAAGGAATAGAAGTTCGTGTTTTTAAATGCTATCCCCATGATGGACTAGAATTACTGTTTGCGCCGAGCCGGAAGCCATTCGGACGTCAGCTCTTCTGCATCAGTTGGTGCTTGGAGGTTCATGGGAGCTAGTATGTACAGTTATAAGTACCTCAATTTGGGTTGTACGGCCCATGAACGTTGAAGTAGCTTACTAACTCGAGCTTTTGCAGACTGACGTGCGGGTTTAGGGTTGAGGGTTCCCTAAACCCTATAAACCCTAAACCTGGGGTTTAAGGTTTCCTGAGGTTCTGGGCGCTATGCACTGGTTGGGGTTGAGGGCTTGTGTGCAACTCGCAGCCGTTGGATCCTGTGCTGGCCTGTAGCCAGGGAAAGAAGAACCTGGAACCTCCGTCGCTGAAGCTTATTATAGTTATTTAGGGTTTAGGGTTTATAAGGGCAATATCACATGATTTAGGGATGAAGTGTTTGATTGCTGTGTCCAGGAGAACGTCACACGTATCGCAGTGCCTCAGACACGTTCCTCGAGAGAGAGAATGTCTCTGTAAAAATGTGTGTGTGTGTAAATAAATAAATAAATAAATAAATAAATAAATAATATTATATATATATATAGATATAGATCGGAGATTCTGGGATCTTTTTAGATGAGCCTCGTGAAAGATGATGTGGCTCAGAAGCTTGTTTTCCAGTCCTTGCCGCGGTGGCTGTGGCTGCAGGATCTTGGGTCAGAGTGTGGGGGAGCAAGGTGTGGGAGCCAAAAAGACACATAAACTCGTGGGTGGGATATCCCTACCATTTTTGTCATAATTACAACACGACGGGACGAACCCTACCTTATGCTTTCTTACCCCAAACCCTAAACCCTAAACCCTACCTTGCGCTTGTTGTTTAGGTGCTTCTGTTGGCCCCCGAAGGTGAAATTTCCTTGCCGGCCCCCACCGTGGCCTTCTACGACGCTGAGCACGACGCCGACAACTTCGAAGGAGACTTCTGGTCAGACGTTCAGGGCATGTGGTACCGACAGCACGACAATCGTTGCATCGGTGAGATCTGCAGTCTACCTTAACCTACCAAAACCCACTTTTTTGTAGGTTCTTGTAAGAAACCCTCGTATGGGATTCATAGGGACCCGACAAAAAAGTAGGTTCTGGTGGGTTAAGGTAGAATCGTTAAGCTTAGGGCTGATGGTTCTTGGTTCAAGCTTAAGCTTATCTTTGTCTTTGGGGTTTAGGAACAGCTCTATAAAAAAGCCTAAAGCCTAAACCCCAAACCCCTAAGTGTAGGTTCTCAAATGTGTGCCTTATTTCCTCTCGTAAGGCAAAAATTACTTGATCTGGCATGTACACTGGCGCCTGGAAGACGATTTGACAACGTTGCAATCCGTGGCATCTGACATTATCATGTTCACTTACAAGGGGAACCAGGTCATCGGCAGAATCTACCGCGATGCGCAGACTTCCATCTATTGGGATGACGGCGACGTGTGGCTACGGAAGTGATTGCTTTCGCGCAAGGGCAGTGGAAGCCCACTGCATCGTCGTCGCAAGCTCTAATGTAGGCGCCTTAATAAGTAGAATAGGGTTTTGGGGGCTAAACCCTATATAAACTAAACCTAAACCCTAAATCCTAAACCCAAAACCCTATTCTAATTAGTAAGGCCCCTTTTTTAAACCACTCCCGAAAGCCTGGAGTTTCACGTAAAGTCCGAAACCCTACGCCCCAAACCCTGGCACCGAAGCCCTAAGCCCAGAAAGTCTAGGGATTTATGGTTTGGGGTTTAGGGTTTGGGGGTTTAGAGTTTAGCGGTTTAGGGTTTAGGGTTAGTGCCCTGGCGAATCCCTTACTCAAAGAAACCCTTGTAGAACACCTTTCTATAAATCCTGAGAGCAACCTAAACCCTAAACCTAAACCCTAAACCCTAAACTTTAAACCCTAAGCCCTAAGCCCTAAACCCTAAACCCTAAACCGTTAAACCCTAAACCCCGAAGACCTGCAGCCTCTCAAGCCAATGCCGTGCCGGGCTTCGTCCAAAGTACAGACGAGCGCGGCGAAAGAAAAATGGAAGCTGTCAGGACGCCTCGACAGGGTTGAGGGTTCAGGGATTTTTTGGGCTTAGTGTTTAGGGTTCAGGGTTTCAGGTTTTTAGGGTTTTAGAGTTTAGGGGTTTAGGGGTTATAAAGTTCAGGGCTTTGGGCTTCAGGCATTAGTGCTTGGGTTGACGATTTAGGACCTGAGGCCTCTGGGGGCTGAGGCGCTATCCTAAAAAAGGGTTTAATTTAGGGTTTAGGGTTTAGGGTTTAGGTTTTAGGTTGGTTCAGGACAGACAGGTTGAAGTTGCCTTTAACAAGTACCTTCGGGCTGCGGGTTTAGGGTTGAGGGTTTAGGATTTAGGGGTTGAGGG